TCCCATGATTGCACTCTTTTAGATGTTATCTCTGATCAAATTGACCATGCCCTCTCTCTTTACCCCTCTGCCAATATTGTTGTTGTTAGTGATTTTAATGCCCATCACACTGAATGGCTTGGCTCTAACACCACTAATCCTGCTGGCACTAATGCCTTTAACTTCTGCGTTTCTCAATCTCTCACTCAGATAGTTAACTTTGTGACTCATTTTCCTGACAACCCTAATCATTTACCTTCACTCCTTGACTTATGTCTTGTCTCTGACCCTAGCTTATGTTCAGTTTCTCCCTTTTCTCCCTTAGGTGGTTCTGACCATGCAATTATCTCTATAAATCTTTCTTCTTGTATTTCTTTTTTGGGCTCACATCGCACCACCTACTGCTACCCTAAATCTGACTGGGATTCCGTTTGTGATTTTCTTCGTGATGGTTCTTAAGCTGATGTTTTTTCTCTCTCAGCTGACAAATGCGCCTCCTACGTAACCTCCTGGATTCAGGTTGGAATGGAAGCTTTTATTCCTTCTTGTCGGTTTCAAGTCAATCCTCATTCTACTCCATGGTTTTCTCCTTCTTGTGCGGCTGCTATATCCAATCGTAATCATTTTTTTCATCTTTTTCAAAAGAACAACTCTCTTGAGAACAAACAGCTATTTATTATTGCAAGAAATCGATGTAAAAAGGTGCTTTCTGATGCTAAACTCCATTATTCTCAGTTCACTAAATCTCGCATCTTATCGCAGAAGTTAGGCCCTAAAGACTTTTGGAAAATCTTTAACAGCATTGTTAACTAGGGTAGATCTAACATTCCATCTCTCATTCATGGGACTGATCTTATTACCTCTCCCAAGGATAAGGCAGAACTATTTGCAAAGAACTTTTCTTTTAGTTCCACTCTTGAATCTTATCGTCATTCTCTTCCTTCCATTCCAGTCAAACAGGTTGACCCATTATTAGACATTCAAATCACTCCGGCTTCTGTTGCTAAAGTCATATCTCAATTAAACTCGTCTACAGCTTGTGGTCCAGACAACATTCCTGTCACAGTCTTGCAGAATTGTTCTCCAGAACTTTCCTCAATTCTCTCTAAACTATTTAACAAGTGTTTGACTGAGTCTTGTTTTCCTGCTTGTTAGAAAATGGCATCTGTGGTTCCAATATTCAAAAACTCTGAGGAAAATTCTGACCCCTCCAATTATCGTCCGATCAGTCTTCTTTCTGTTATTAGCAAGGTCTTTGATTCTTTGATCAACAAATTCCTCACATCTCATCTTGAGTCAAATAAACTGCTGTCAGACAATCAATACGGTTTTCGATCCTCTTGTTCTACGGCCGACTTGCTAACTGCTGTAAATGAAAGATTTTATCGTGCATTAGATTGAGGCGGTGAGGCTAGGGCTATTGCTCTCCACATATCTAAAGTTTTTGACAAAGTTTGGCATGCTGGTCTTCTCCATAAGCTTGTTTCATATGGTGTTTCTGGGAAAGTTTTTGAGATTATCAAATCATTTCTTTCTAACCGGTTTATTAAAGTCATCTTTGAAGGCCAACACTTTTCTTTATTTCCAGTAACTTCTAGGGTTCCCCAAGGTTCCATCCTGGGCCCTGTTTTGTTTCTTATCTTCATAAACGATCTTCCTGACATCCTTTCATCTAAAGTAGCTCTTTTTGCTGATGACTCAACTTTATACTCCTGTCTTGACAAAAAGTCTTCTCTTTATGATCGCCTAGAACAAGCAGCTGATCTTGAATCTGATCTCACTTCAGTAATAGATTGGGGTTCACAGTGGCTTGTGAATTTCAACTCTAAAAAAACCCAATTGCTTTCTGCAAACAACTACCGTAATATGGTCAACATTCCTTTATTAATGAATGGCAATCCTCTTACTGAGTCCTCCTCTTTACGTCTTCTTGGATTATCGCTTACTACTGACCTTTCATGGAAACCATATATACAATCGATTGCTAAATTAGCTTCTGCTAAGGTTGCTTCTCTTTATCATGCTCGCCATTTCCTTACTTCTGATTCCATTCTCTACCTCTACAAATCTCTTATTCGTCCCTGTATGGAATACTGTTGTCATATTTGGGCTGGTTCTTCTAACGATTCACTTTCTCTTCTTGACAAGGTCCAAAAACGCATTGTAAATGTTGTTTTACCTGGACTATCTGCTGAGCTGGAACCTCTTTCCCATCATTGTAAAGTTGCATCTCTTTCTCTTTTCTACAGATAATACCATGGTCATTGCTCAAAGGAGTTATCATCTCTAGTTCCATCAACTAAAATTCATTCTCGTTTTACTTGTCATTCAGCTAAGTCTCATTTGTTTACTGTATCTGTCCCTGTATGCTCTAAAAACTTTTATTCATCTAGTTTTTTTCCCCGCACTTCAATCCTTTGGAACTCTCTCCCATCTTCATGTTTTTCTGACTCATACAACCTTCAACTTTTCAAGTCTTCTGTCAACCGTTTCCTTGCTCTATAACTCTGTTCTTTTTTTTTTCCTAGTAACTCCCAACTTAATAGTGGTTGCTTGCAGACTTGTTGAGAGTGAATGCAAATAAAAATAAAAAAAAAAAAAAAAAACTCATATAAATAAACTTTTATCTTTACTAACGTTTTTGTTTTAGATTTTAAATAAAGTAACAGTTACTAGGCTTTGTCGGGAAGTGGGTGCGATTACAAAAAACCGGCCAGATTTTTTAGTTGTATTGAAAACATTTAAGTTTATGTATGTTTGCTTGTTTGTCCGAAAAAGAATAAGTTCATTTTATCGTAAGTTTTAAAAAATTTTGTTTTACAGACTTACATGGATACATATATAAACTTGAATGTTCTCAAACATCTTAGTGTGGAAAAGTAAAAAAAGATTATTTGCAAACACAAAAATTCCGCCAAATCTACGAACAACTAATTCTATTGGTTCAAAAAATACTAACCGAATTTTCTAGAGTATTCAAAAAATACCAACCGAATATCCTGAATATTCTGTTAAAATATTTTTAAAAGTTGTATTTTTTGAATTTTGTTGCGTTTTTGTTGAGATTTCAAGCATAAATCATTTTAAGAATATACTATCAAACGAAATATTATTTCAATTCTTGGAGCCACATCTACAAAGCCATAAATGTTTTAAAATAACATTATTTGGTTACAATAATAAATGTTTTAAATTTATATTTTTTAACTTGTCAACGTTTTGTAAATATATTTTAGATTTTATTAGTATATTCTTTTATATATATATATATATATATATAAGGGATGTATTTTTTATGTATGTAATCTATTTTTATGTATGCAATGTATGTATGGATGTATGTATGGATGTATTTTTTATGTGTGTAATCTATTTTTATGTATGTAATGTATGTATGGATGTATGTATGGATGTATTTTTTATGTATGTAATCTATTTTTATGTATGTGTCTAACCCCTAACCATAACAAGCACCGCGGCTGAGGTCAGGACAGAACACAAATATATATAGCAAATATATAGATATAAAGAAAGGTTTCTAGATATTGATTTACTAACTCTAATTATTTTCTAGATCGGTTTACTAACTCTAATTATTTTCGCTTAAGTTGCCATTCTGAAAACTCGTTATACTTTTTTCTGCTTTAAATACTAATTAAAATTAAAAAGCCCACTCACTAAAAATCATCAGCGATATTGTGAAGCAGTTTCGCTTCCTCGTCATAAAGTATTTTTAACCTTTTTAGTTGATTTTTATCTTGTTAATTTAATTTCTAGTAATTCAATGATTTTATTTCATTTGTTTATCTTATTAAGAAGAATTGCTTCAAATATGTTGAACTTTTCAAACTACTTGAAACATAAAATAGGTGTTAAAAAAATTAACTTATATAATTATAAAATAATTTAGCTTAAATAAAACTAAAACTTGCAAACTTTGTTAAATAAAGAGTATTTTTTTCCTTTTTAAATAATTGTAAGATGTTACTTAATATAAAAAACATTGCTTAATGTGACGTCACTGTGGCAAAAAACTAGAAAAACAAACAAGAAAAAAGGTTTTATTTAAATTTTTTTTAAAAACTACTTCTATTAAAGATATATGGAATATATTTTTATGGGACATATTCTAATAAAGAGAAAAACAATTATTTATTACTATTGTAATAAATACAATAGCTATCCATAAAATAATATATATGTACCAGTTTTATATATTTTTATATAATTGTATGCAACATAATTTAAATTAATCAAAAAATTTAAGATAAATGCAAAAGGAAACTTAACACATAACTACAATTACAATTACACTTTAATCATGGCTTTTTAAATTTTTAATAACTTAAATATTTTATAATGTATTTATTTTATGCAAGTTGTTTTCAAATCAAGTACCCATTTACTTTGTTTATTACTATTGTTTATAATTCCTACTTCAATACCTAATAATACCCTGTTTTCAAAAGCCTACTGAACCTTTTGAAGAATTTTTAATAATGGTTTTAATAAGGGCAAATGTGTTTTTCCTCAATTTCCTTTCTTGATTCAACCAACTAACTGAAAAACAGATCGATCTTCATAGAGACATTCTACTTCTGTGTCTAAAGTGACTTTTAAAGTGTTTACAGCTTGCTGTTCAATAAACATACTCAAAAAAAATATCACAGCATTACAGCAGTAACTACTCATTACAAGATTTTACAAGTTTTAAGTTAAATCATTTATGTAAATTTTAAATAATTTTTGGCTCTTTTATGGAGTCTACTTGTTATTATTTAATTTTTAAAGTAGTTTTTAGAAATTGATAATCATCCTTTAAACCAGAATAAGATTTTTTACCCTTCAATATGTTTAGCTTTTATATACACTAATTTGAATAAAAGTTTCTATTAAATATACACTAAGTTGATGATAAACTTATTACTTCTAACTTATTTAATCAATTAAGTTTTTTACTTTAGTTTTAAGTATTTTTCACTAAAATTTTATTCTCGTATTATTTTTTAAACTTGATTTAGGTATAAAATAAAGGCTTCTCAAACTGCAGAACTTGCCAAAAAAGGTTGTTTTTATTTATTTGTTGTTAATAATGTAACAGAATTTCTAGATTAATTCTAATTTTTGTATATTTTACTCATTTTTTTTTAAAGTTTTTATATATATATATAATTGTATTAAAACTGTTGAAGAGTTTTTAAACATATAGTTAAGCAAATTATTTTTGATATATAGCTTGATTAAGCTTGATTATTTGCATTATTATTTAGTGAATTAGTCTTTATTAGTCTTAATCTGTCCCTATTATTTGACAGTTTTTTTTTGCCTGCTTTTATTTTACAACTGTCTGAAGTGAGTGTAAGATGATTTTTATTTTAAAATTTTTTATTTTTATCTTAAAATTTTCCTTAAAAAACAAAGACATTAAGTCGATAACATAGTTACAAACTGTTAAAATTTCATTTTTTTAGTGTGTTTGCCATTATCTTATCCTGATTCTGTTATATTTTCTATCTAGTTTGTTTTGGTTTTTAAAGTGTTTCTTAGTGTTTTTATTTGATATGGGTAATAATGTCTTTATTATGGTAATAATTTAATGTTTTTGGTTGGCAATTTAATATTTTTTTGAAACTAGCCTAATAAGCAACTATCTAAAACTTCCGATACTGATTTGAGATCTTTTTTTATTACAAGACTTAATGTCAAGATAAAAATTTTATGGAGGATTACAAGATTAGACAGGAATATGGAGGATTAATTAGTTAGATTATTACGAATTGACAGTTATCATGGATTCTGATAATGGTTAGATGACCCAAGAAAGCTTTTAGTAGTTCTTTTTTAGTCTTTTTCTAAAATAGTTAAATAAGAGTTAACTTGGTGTTAACCATAAACTAAAAAAATTTCACTGTCTCTCTACTGACAAGGCAGAACACTAGCTTAGTTGGTCCGTTTATTTGTTAAGGAAAAATCAATATATACTTGAATTGCCAGTAGTTGAAGAATATATATCTCATTCATACAATATGTAAGGCACTCTCTTCAAGTTTTCTTTCTACCACTCCATTTTCTAACAACCATTGTTTGGTACAATGTTTTTTCAAATTTGTCTAAGATTATGCCTTTTTTTTGTCTTGCTTGAGTCACACCGCACATCTATCTGATCCTCTTCTCTTTTGACAAATACTAATCTATTATCCGAACTAGTGTTATTCGCTTTCGAGCCTGTTTGACACGGTACCCTTGGCAGCCATTGCAAGCAAGGTAGTGACGAGAAAGAGTCGCAGCACATTGTTTTATAAGTAAACGTGAACGAACGTTTATCCGAATATCTAACGTACTTAAACTTTAAATTAAGTAATGTTAAAACATACTGAAACATTTATCAAGTTTTACAATTCGATTTTCACTTTAAAATTGCATTGAGTCAAGCTCTCCTTAATTTATCTATAACATTTTTTCCCTTGAAAAAATCATTACATTGATTTACCAGGAGAAAAAATTTGTTGTGTGTGTATGATGATTGAGACACTTATGTTGTTAATGTGCTCAGGTTATTAGTCCTAATAAGCTGCGGATGATCTGAAAAAAAAGTTATCTGCAACTTAATGAAGAAAAAACTTTAGAAAGTCCTGCTGTGGAGGCAAAAACAAGAAGGGAAAAAAAAAAAAAAAAAGCCCGAAGCTAGATAAAACTTCAAAACTTTCTTTTTACAATTAAAAGTTTATTTTGGTACATTCCCTTTCTTTCTAATAATTTATGCTGCAACTGTTTTTCAAAACGCTTTAATATGCTTATTACGTATTTCAAGAAAAACGTAAAAAATTAAAAAAATATTATTAGGAAAAAGTCTTTGTAAAGCATTTTTGTAAACTTTTTTAGATAATAATTAGTTTTTTAGGCTGAGGGAAAGTCTTAAACCCCCAAAACAAAACTGAAGGCAGTGCACTTAACTACTGAGCTATCAAATGAAATGCATTTAATAGAAAAATAAACCTAATTATAAGTCTCTTATAAGCTCTACATATGCAGAAAAGGTGCATATGTTAAGTTTTTTACTCTTAAATTTTCTTTTCAGAATAAATTGTTTTACTAAAAAATATTAAATTAATTAGTGAATAGGTATAGTGATATGGATAGAAATGGTAAGCTTGTTTAAGACTCGTATTTTACAGATCTGGAAAGCTAGGATGTATAGGGAAAAAGTAAAGAAAAGTTTGGTTTGGAATAGAGTTACAAAGACCCATATTTTTACGGGTCAGATCTCAGCTAGTCCATTTAAATACTAAAGTTTATATAACAATAAAAGGATATTCTGTGCCTGCATCTGAATAAATAGCAAACAGATATGTTTATATCCATAATATGTATGCATAAAGTGCATCTTGAAAACTTTTATTTCTCCTGGAATAAAAGTTTAGAAACTTTTATAACTTCTCTTTAACCTTAAGTTAAGCCTATTTCTACTCCATATTTTTTGCCATCTTGAGCAGTTGCTTTATTAAACATTATTGTTTTTTTCATCTTTTTTACAATGACATTTCTCTTAAAAATAAATGTCCTTTTATTATTGTTAAAAGCTAATGCAAAAATGCCCTGTCTGATGTTAAGCTTTGTTATTCTCTGTTTACTAAAACTTGTATCTTATCTCAGATGTTAGGTTACAGAGACTTTTGATAATTCTTCAACAGTGTAATTAACTAAAGTAAGTCTAATATTTAATCTCTTGTTCATGTGTCTGATCTTTTTACTTCTCCACTGAATAAAGCAGAGTTATTTGCAAAGATATCTTATTCTAATTTGAATCTTGAATAGAACGACCATACACTTAATGACAGTTGAACCGATTAACCTAATGTTATCTAAATCACTCTGGCTTTCAATAGTAAAGTTAATTTTTAATTAAAACACTTCTATAGTTGATGCTCCAAATTAGATTTCAGTCATAGTCTTTAAAAAGTGTTCTCCAGAACTTTCTTCAATTATTGCTAAACTTTTATAAAGTGCTAAATAAGTGGTTCCAATTTTTCAAAACTCTAGAAAACACTTTGACCTCTCTATCTATCTTACAATTAGCTTTTACTATGTTATTAGTTTCTTTATATAAAGGCTTTGAGGTTGTTAAATGATTTTTTTCTAACTCCAGTAGTAAAGTTATTCTCGAAGGCCTACCATCTTTTTTTTTCAAGAAACTTTATGGGTACCACAAGGTTCTACCTTTGCTCCTGTATTGTTTCTTATCTACAAGTACATCTTCATGAAATCTCAAGTGGCTCTATTTCCTGACGACTCAACTTAATACTCTTCTTTTAACACAAAGTCTTCACTTTTTTCTGTAACAGCCTAAGATTTGTGAATTTTAAGTTTGGATTTTTAATCCACAACTTTTGTTAGACAAAAAAACTCATTTACTGCAAAAAAATATTGCAATATTGTTGGCATTCCTATATTGATAAATAAGTACCTTCTTACTCTCAGACAAAGTCTAAAAGCACAATTTAAATGTAATTAGACCTGCTTTACCTTTCAAGCTTGAGCCACTCTCCCATTGTTGTAAGGTTGCATTTTTTTTTTTTTTCTACAATTATAATCATGGTCAATGTTCAAACAAGCTATCATCTCTATTACAATAATCGAAAACTCATTCTTGCTAGTTTCTTATTCAATAAGTTGCATCCTTTTACTGTATCTGTCCCTTCATGCTATAAAAATTTTATTAATCCAGTATTTTTCCTTGCACATCAAAAAAATCTTATAACTATTAGCCATCTTTATGTTTTTCTTTTAAACACAACCTACAGCTTTTCAAGTCTTCAGTTAACCATTTCCTATTATTTTTACTTATTCTCTATTTTAAAGTAACTCTTATATTTATAGTGGTTGCTTGCAATCTTGTTGGTAGTAAATTAGAGTTTGAATATATAAATATATGCCAGTATTTAATAAATAGTAAATCTAAGTATAAAATTATAATATATAAAGTATTATAAATTTTTTTCCTAGCCCTGCCTATCAACCCCTGCTAAATCTTTAGTTTAGCCGTAAAAGTTTAGCCGGAGCCAGGTTTAAAAATAGTCTCAATTTTAGCCAGGGCTGGGGCCCCGCTCACTTACTATGCAGAGACAGATAAAGTAACTAAGTGAGACTTAGCTGATTAACGAGTTAAGCGAGAAGTCAGGTTTTAGTTGTAAAAGAAAGAAACTAGAGATGATTGCTTCTTTGAGTACTAACCATGATAGTATTTGCAGAAAAGAGTAAGAGATACACTGTATAAAGTATTTTGTGTCCCTGGGTAAAACTTTTAAGTGGCACACATAACAGTGTGACTTGTCAGTGACACAACCGACAAGTCATGAATGTTAAAAATGTTACAGTTTTATAATTAGAAATTTTAATTATAAATTTAGAACTGTTAATTTCGATAATTTAAATTTAGTTGACTGATATAATGTTAATTGTTTTTTTCCTAATTACTAAATTAAAATATAATTTTTTTTTTATTTTTAGGGAAATCTGATACAAAGAAAAATGAGTAAGTACTATGTTAATATTTGTTTGTAATAGCATTATTGTCTGAGCAATATATTTACATTGTTTATTTGCATTTCTTGTTGTATTTAAGTGTGTTTTTTAGGAAATTAAGGGTTAGTGTTAAGGTCAAAAAGCACGACTATTTTCCAAAAGATCATTACTGTCACGGCAAAAGAAAATATTTGTCTCTGGAATAGGCCTAGGCAAGTTTTTAGAAATAGAAGTCAGTTATAAATTCATCCATAGGTGTAAAATCCATCATGGTTTTATGGAGTATAACTGAGCTAGCTTGGTGTAGTTCAGAGATAGATCTTTTACACTAGTTACTTACAACACATGGCAGCACAGACTTACGCATTAAACCTATAAACCCATATGCACATACAGCCTGTTATATCGTTTTGCAAGCTTTTTTTTCTTTCATAGATAATCTTTGTCTGAACTCATCCTTGTTTAAATAATATTTTCTTTTACTTGATAGTTTATGGCATGATGTATTAACAATATGGTATATTATGTAACAATGAGTGTTTGAGTTTTAATATATTATTTTTGTTAAATAGCAGCTTTCTACAGTCTGTTTTTTGATCAATGTTTTACTGTGTTTTTGTTATGGTTTCAAAATAACATTACGTTTAACCCTAGAGAAAACTTTATTTAGTTATGGTTTCAAGAAGACGTTTTATATCATGGTTATATCACACAAAATATGTTTCAAGTTATTTATAAGTTTATTGTTCTGGCATTTATTAACTAATATTAAAACTGTTTAAACTTCTTTTAGTTTGATTATTCTACATCTATTTTCCATTGATCATTGATCGTTTAATGTTGCTATCATTTAGTTCAAATCCACAAACATTAACTGTTTGCTGTCTCACTGCTGTCTTCGACTTAAAATTATCTTCACTAGTTATCTGTTGTCTTTTACTAATGGTTGTATTTGTTTATAACAGGCATCTTTGATAAAAAATTTTTCTCTAAGGTTAACAAAGCAAATTGTTTACTCCATCAAACGAAAAAAGGAACTAAATTGTTTTTTTTTGGTTAGCTTTTTTTAAGTTAAATATGCGATCAATAATTTTAATTCAGCATTTAAATAAATTCTACGCCAATTGCTGTATTTAGATTAGACAAAAAAATGCAATATTATTTTCGACTTTAAAAATGTTGTTTGATATGTAAATTTTATCTTATTAAAGAACAAAAATATTTGCAAAAAATTATTTTCAATGACATCACCATTTCGATGATCAAAAAACTCTAAACTATGTGATTTATATTTTTAAACGATATTTAATTATGGTGACATAAATGAATCATAAAATTGGTATTTGATTCTACCATGTTCCATGGTGTCTTTCAACTAATTTTTTTTTTTTATCTTTATTTTTATCTCTGCTTACATATCTGCAAGTAACCACTAATTAGAGTTTGAAGTTACTGAAAGATGAAGATTGTAGAGCAATATAACGATTGACAGACAACTTAAAAAAAGATTGCAAATTATATGAATCAGGAAAGCTAGATAAAGGAAGCGAATTCCAAAGAGGTGATGTTCGAGGAAAAAACTAGAGGAATAAGAGTTTTTAGAGCACTTGGGAACAGTCACAGAAATAGGATGAGACTTAATTGAATGTTAAGTAACACAAGTATGGCTTTCAGTAGATAGCACAAGAGACACTAGCTCTTTAGAGTAGTGCCCATTATAGTATTTGTAGAAAAGAGAAAGAGAAGCAACATTACTACAATGTGATAATAGATGAAGGTTGGCTGCAAGAGTAGGTCCAACGATGTTTACAATTCATTTTTGCACCTTGTCTAAAAGAGAAAGAGCGTCATTAGAAGATCCACCCCAGATATGGCATCAGTATTCCATGCAAGGCCGGATTTGAGATATATTTGCTGATGATACCTTAATATGCTCATTAAATATTGCTGTTGCAATAATGAATTCTGATTCAGCATAATCTGCAAAATCATAAACATAGAACAAATGTTTATTGTTTTTTCTGTTAATTTGACATGGGTGCTCAAATATGAGCTAGTATATTTTGTATTTTAAACCATCCATAGGTGGTCAACAAATGACCTTTAAAATAATAATACCAACATTGAAAATGTAAAATAATCTTTTTTTGTTAGTTGTTATAAATCTTAACTCTTCAAATCTCTGTAAGTTGACATTTCAAATTTAACCAAATATTCAACTTTTTTGATGGTGGCCTATATAACAGAGGAATCCTAAAAGTAATTATTTACATTGCAACCCCTGACCAACAATGTTAAATCTTTTCTCTTTTTTTAAACACGTTGCATGAAGTATAGTAAAAAAAATAATTACATCATATTCATCAGTTTAAAAGTTTTACACTAACAAGACTATTGGTCTACCACTAACAATAACAGTGCATTTTTAGTATTTAAAAAGTCATACTGTCAAAAATACAAGCATTAAATAAGATTATAAAGGTTTTTGAATTTAGATATTTAAAAAGATAAAAAAGTTAAATATTTTCTATACAAGCTTTAATTTTTTTTTAACTTAATATTAGGTGTTTTTGTACCTCTTATTTTGTTTTAATTTTTTAGATATGAAAGTACAGATTTTGAGTTGACCAAATCAGAAAAAACAGAACTCAAAAAAAGTAAGTTTTTTTAAAAAACGTATTTCTGATACTAATAATATTTACAGGCCCAACCAACAAAAATTTATTGTTCCTGTAAGGGACCTATACAGGCTTGGATATGGGAAAATTTCAGAGGGTAAGCAGAGTAATTGTGTATTACCAAGCCTGCTGTTTGATTTTAAGCTCTATTACTCTAAGATAAAATTAATCAAATTTTTTATTTTATTTTATATGTTAGATTTTAGAATCTTTAAAAATACAATCAAAAATAAAGGAAAGTCTAACATTTCTCAGACATAGATCTTGTTTTATTCCCCAAATAAAGCAAAATTGTTTGCAAAAAACTTTTTCTTTAAATTGACTTTTAAATCTGCTTCTATTGCTAAGTTTATTTTCACTTGGGTTTATTGAAATGGGTATTATAGTGTACCTATTGGTATATATGATATATATATATATATATATATATATATATATATATATATACATATTGATATAAGTATATATTGGTATCTATGGGTATTATAGTGAATTTGTTGGTATCTACGGGTATTAAAGTGAATCTATTGGTATCTATTGGTATGGGTATTATAGTGGATCTATAGGTTATTTCTTTCAGATAAGGTTATTCTGCTACTGGTAACATGTAACCCAGTACAACCTGATTCATTCTCTGCTGCCTAGTAGGATATAGGTTTTTAGGCAAAGGCTAGGAGAAGTCAACTCCAACTTAAAACATTCCCTGCCGTAGTGCTCATGGTTGAGCAAAGGCTAGAGATAGTGTCTTAATAAAAAATACTTATTTTAGGCAGATATTAATTGCGTCCAGCTACTGTCTTGTAGAAGGTCTTCGAGGCAAAGACTTAAGGGGTAAACAGATTTTATCTATCCAGTTTAGGATGTTAAACTATTCCAGTTTAGGATGTTCTGGAACGCTGGATCTTCTTGACTTAATGCATAGGTTTTGTTGTGTCTCAGTTTTTATGACTAGACAACTCATATTTTCTTCTAATAAAGGTACAGCTCTGAAACTCAGTTTTATGGTTCTGAGTCCAGCTGGTAGTCAGATTTACCGAACTCTGTGGTAGCTCTAAGAGAGGCTGATTCCATCAACAGCTGAAAAATATCAGAATACTAACAGTGCCATGTTGCGCATCGATGGTGTATCTGTTTGTACTTTTGTTGTGCATTATTCAGGCCACATTTGGAGCCTTTTGTTATGGTTTAGGGTTTAATAATAGTAATGAGGCAATTGCTTGGACTATGAAGCGATGTACTGAGTACAGTCTATGTTTTGAGCCAAGTTCTTTGAAAAATTTATAAAAACTAAAGTACCAAAAACTATAAAACACAAAAAACCATCGTCATCACCAAGTTCTATAAACCTTTATTTTCCTAATGTTTGTGCTCTTCTAAGTAACTTTTTTTCTTCTTAATCTTATCTCTTGCAAAGTTTTTCAGACCTACTCGCTCTTTGTGAGAATAATTTGAGTTCAGCTGTCTCATCTTGTGGTCTTAGTGTTGATGGTTATCTTCCTTTAATTCGTAAAGACTCTAATTGTCACATGCTTGGCCTTGGTATTTACATTTGTAAGAATTCACCCATTTGTTGGGAAACAAGGTTTGAATCTAGACTATAATTTTATGTGCTTTCTTTTAGCACCACTTTACTATATCACTTTTCTTATTGTTCTATATTGCTCTCCTTCATCTCAAAATTTCTCTTTTTTTGATGTTATTTCTAATCAAATTGACGAAGCTCTCTTTCTTTATTCATCAGCTAATATTGTTGTTATTGGTGACCTTAATGCTCTTTACACTAAATGGCTTGGCTATAGTGTCATTTACTCTGCTGGGGTTAAGGCACTAAACTTTCGCCTTTCTCAATCTTTAACTTTCCAATTCAACCTTGTTTCTGATTCTAGTCAGTGCTCAGTTTGTCGACATTTTCCCTGAGGTGCTTCTGATCACGGTTTGATCTCTCTAAAACTATTATCTCATTCTTCATCATCATCTGAATCCCCTTATAATTGCACCTCTTATAACTACTTTAAAGCTCACTGGGAGTCTTTCCTTGATTTTATTCTTGATGGTCCTTGGGTAGAAATCTTTTGTCATCCTGTTGACAAATGTGCTTCTTACATAACTTCGTGCTGGCTGGCATGGAATTTTTTTTTCCTTCTAGATGATTCCAGTTCAAGCCTTACTCTTCTCCATGGTTTTCCTCACATTGTGCAGCTGCAACTTCTAATCAAAACTGTTACTTCAATATCTAAACAGACGTCTGTTTTTTACTGCTAGATACCATTAAAAAGGTTTTGCCAAACATCAAAGCTTGCTATTCTCAGGTCATAAAATCTCATATTACGCAAAAATTAGGCTCTCGTGACTTCTGGAGAATCTTCTACTGTATCTTAAGGCAAATCTGTTATTTCACCTCTCTTGTATGATTCAAACTTTCTCACCTCACCTAAAGACAAAACTGAATTGTTTGCTAAGCATTTTTCATCAATAATATTCCACTAGTTACAATATACAAGATATAGCCGTCAAACAAGTTGATCCATTGCTTCACATTCATATTACTCCAGCGTCTGTATCAAAAGTGGTTTCCTGCTTAAACTCTTCTACAGCTATTGGTCTAGACAACATACCTGTTGTAATCTTGCAGAAGTGTTCTCCGAAGCTTTCATCTATACTTTCAAAACTACTAACAAGTGCTTATCAGAGTTTTGTTTTCCAACATGCTGGATAGCAGCATCTGTTATCCCTATTTTTAAAAACTCTAAAGAGCGCTCTGATTTGTCTAACTACTTTCCCATTAATCTTCTTCCTATCATAAGCAAGGTCTTTGAATTTTTAATTAACAAACACTTAAGCTCTTATCTTGGATCTTTCGAAACTATTTATTTTTCTAAAACTATTTAACAAATGCTTATCATGTTTTCCGGATTCCCCCAAAATATCTGGAGAGCAATCTGACTCGTCTAACTACTGTCCCATTATTCTTCTTCCTATCTTATTTCTATAAGATTTCTATAATATATATATATTTTTATTTCAGTAACTTACAACTCTAATAGTGGCTGCCTACAGCCTACTTGGAAGCGAAGATGTAAAAAAAAAAATTTTAATTAAAAAAAAAACTTACTCATTTCTACAGCTTGTGATTTGCAGTCTTTTAATAAAAAAATGTTCAGAATTCTCTGAACTATTTAATAACTATTTAACTTTGTTTGTTATTTTGTCTGCTGGTAAATGACATATGTAATTTAGTTTTTAAAAACTCTAGAAAAACTCTGATTTCTCTAATGTCCCATTTGACCAAATTATGATAAAAGGAAACAAAGATGTATAAATGTCACCACCCTAGTGGAACATATACCCTAGTGTACATACAACAATTGAAGATTTTAGATTGAGTTTAAAATATTAAATCAAATAATTTCTTTTAAAGAAACAAATAGGTATTATCTATATTTTTAAGACATATATACTAAATAATTTTTAAAGATCAGTGGAATATTTATACACAAACTTCTATTTGAGAGATTTTTCTATCAATAGAAAAATTCTTGATTCTTTAATTAACGAATTTCTATTATTTCTTATGTCTTAGACTCAAGAGAATTAAAGTCTGTATTGATTATCAGAATGAAAGTTATTAGACTGCCTAATAACTATCTAATAATGTATTCTCTGGTAATAAATGATTCGATCCTCTTGTACTGACTTTTTAGCAGTTATAACTGAAAGATTTAATTGTGCAATAGATGGATGTAGCAAGGGCTTTTGCTTTTAACATACCAAAGGCTTTTGATAAAATCTGACATGCTGGACTTCTCTTTAAACTTGCTTTATAGTTTGCCTTTCTTTTTCATGATTAGTACTTCCCTTCTACTGATTTCATCCTCTGCTTCTATAAGCCTCTTATTTGTTTCTGTAATGATTACTGTTGCCATATTTAGTTTTTGCTAAGAAAAAATTTTTTTTTTTTTTTTTGATTATTTATTTATTTTTTGATATTTTTTTTTTTGTTGATATTTTTAAATTGCTAAGTTACAAAGTTTGCTAAAGAGCTCAAATAATGGTATTGGTAGTGCTGGTAATACATGGTCTAGTATTGTTGCAGGTGTTAAACCTAAATCAACAGAGCATCTTAATTTGATAAATATGATTTCTCAAGAATCATTTGACACTCCGAAAGGAAAAAAATGTAATTATTTTTGGTATACCTTTGTCATCTAAAACGGGTATTCATGATAAATATGAAGATGATAAAAGTAAGATAAATAAAATTATTAAAGGTTTGAGTTCAACTCATGATTAAAAAAATATTATCTTCAAGAACAGGACACATCTACCAGATAGACACAAACAATTTTTAAAAATTAATTTTAAAATATTTATTTTAATAAAAACAAAAAGAACACAAAAATTTAATGCTGCCATGTTTACCAGGCCTCAGTTCTACCTTATTAGGAAGAAGTGATGTAAAATGGCCCTGCAATAGAAAGAGACACAGGGACAGAAACCATTCCCATGCTGACCTCATCCCCAAATAAATTTTTCAATCAAAATCCAATTTGTCACCATTATATCAAGCTTTTTTTTCTTTTTCATGGTCATTTTGGTTTCTTCTAATTATTGAATATACCAATTCGAATTAAAAGAGTCTTATATATTTATATATTTTTATATGTTTTAATATTGATATAAAGAAATTTAAAAATTTTCTGTTCTAAAAAATAAATAACCTCATATTTTTATACGTTTTAATATTGATATAAAGAAATTTAAAAAATTTTCTGTTCTAAAAAATAAATAACCTCATATTTTAGTTACCTTGATAACTAGCTGGTTACCATTAAACGCTAAAATGTTTTATTACAAAAAGATTTCAATTTCATTTCATTTTAATACTATTTATTGTTTAATAATTAACTCAATACTAATTTATTTAATAAATAATATTATATACCTCCTTACATCGATCTTAAATCTTAATCCCCTTACATCAATAATGGTATCTAGAAACGAGTAGGTAATTTTTTTAAAATAATGTTATTATTATTGTCCTCATTATTTTGTGTAAAATTTTCGCGCTGTTATACTTCTCACAAATATACGGCCTCATTCACACATAACACAAATCTGAATAAATATACAAGGATAGGGTAAAATAAGATTATGAACAAAAGTATATAATAAAGAACAAATATTTGATATACTTGTTTTAGAGGCCGTTCATGTCTACAGGTGTGATGGTGTAGTGCATTAGTATGTGTCGTTTGGTCGTCTAGTATGGTCTCGTTATGTCTTCGTTCACTTTCAAATCGGGTGAATAGAAAGCTAAACACACTCACTCCTTGCGCTTATGGGCTAGCACATCAGAGCCAGACGTGAGACCTACAGAATGGATTTCAATTGATCGAATGCACACATTAGTCACCGTAGGCCACAAGCCATCACTCTTAGCCAAAAGAGCTACTGCCCCGTGCTGGTGTGGAATGATGTGCTATGGAGTGAGATTTCAGATCCGAGCACATAGTCAGCGAGCGCTGATCCGACGTGCATTGTGGAGCTTCCGATTGAACGTGTGCATGAGTGTCAGCGTAGTCATTAGGTTATTGAGCGCCGTAACCACATCCAGCAGGATAGCCTAATGTCCGTTTTGTCGTTGTGACGTACATTGGAAAAAGTCGGGGCTCACCAGCCACAAAGAATAAATTTTTGTTTATGCGACACAATGGTCGCAAAAAGTGACCAACGGAGCTGTCCAGTTTCGTAGAACTGAGAGATGTGATAATAAAAACAGTTCGAAGATGGTGTCATTGAATATAAAATAAAAATAATATGAAAATATAAAATGAGTGATAAGACTTTTGTGAAGGTAAAGAACGAAGTAAATGCTCGGAGGGCAGGGAGAGAACAAACTAACACTCTAATCACTCTGTATGTAGATCATATGTAACAAAGAACAAATATTTGATATACTGATTTTGAAGACCGTTGATGTCTGTTTAACTTATTCAAAGCAACAGAATGATATGATTAAGATCTTAAGATTTAAATCAATTTAAATCAATTAATTGTTGAGTTTGATAGTCTAGAAGCACGCAATCTAATTTTAGAGAATGCAAGAAAACTAAAGGGAAGTATTGATTTTCAGAAAATTTTTATAAATCTAGATTTAACAGACGCGCAGAGGATTTTACAAAAACCAATCCTTTTGATTTTTCATTTATAAGTGATAATCAAAGTTAAATCAAAATACTAAAGAAGTTTATGATACAGAAGTCAAAAAAATTAAGCCCTTCAATATCCAATTACAAAAATATCAGTTTTGTTCGATAAAATATTGGTACACAAACGCAACTTCGCTCTACAATAAATAGTTTTTGTTTGAATCACATATACAAAATGATGATCCAGATATATTTTTGTTACAGGAACATGTGGACATGGGAACAAGCGGACACTGCAGTCGTTAACATATTTGAAGGGTTATACATCATTCAGAAAAGTACAGTCTGTAGAAAAAAACGTGGTGGAGGCATAGTAAGTTAATTGAATTGATAAAAACCGATCAAATTTTTCAAACATTCGTTTAAATTATAAACGAGGTAATTATAAACAGATTGACAAATATTTTTCACAAATTGAATGGGAAAAAGTTTTGAATGAGCATGATATTGAAATGTCTTATAAAAAGTTTTTGGATTGTTATGCATCTGCATGTAATAAATATATACCAATCATTAGCACAATTCTATATAAACAAATAAATTTAAAATGGCTACCTAATGAGGTCAAATCACTAATTTAGAGTAAAAAGACTTAATGGAAGCTTAATAGAAATTCTGGTTGGAAATTTGAACCACAAATGCAACAATATAAGTTATTTAAAAAGTTGAAAAACAATTAAAGTTATCAAAGAGGAAATATGAAATACAATTAATAAGAAACTTTAGGTATAAGCCAAAACAATTCTATTCGTATGTTAAACATCAGCAATCAGGTCATGGTTATATTAGAAGACTAAATAATCAAGATAGCGAGTCATTAACTAATGGTTTGATATTTTTAATCAATTAAATAATAAATTTAAATCAGTATTTTTACAACAAGAAAACATTGAAATACCAAATTTTCTTGTCCAACACCAACTTTTACTGCATTACAATTATTACAAATTTTACTGCCAACAATTATTAAAACTAGATCCCTACAAGAGTATTTGTGTAGATATTATTGGGACCTGATCATTCAGGCGCTCATATTTTTCCCGATATATTTTTAGACTCAGAACTGCATCAGTTTGAACTAAGACCAAAATTTCAGCTTAGTGAAGGTGTTTTAACAAGTGTTCTAGATCTAATTATGTCTGAATCACCAGTTTGAGTTTTCAATATCAATTACAACAAGCCAATTAGCGCAAAAAATTAAAACTAGATCCCTACAAGAGTATTTGTGTAGATAATGTGCATGGATATGTGTTAAAACAATGCGCATCTAATTTTTTAAAACCTTCAAGTATTATGTTTAATATATCGTTCAATAATTCTAAACTTTAAGAAGGGTAGTAGATTGATTGCAGAAAATTATAGACCTGTATCTTTAACTTCTATTGTTTGTAAGGTCGTGGAATCCATTATAAAAGACTGCATGCTTAACTTTTTAGATGGTGAAAAGTTATTGAATCAGAATCAACATGGTTTTTTGAAACATAAATCATGTGTCACCAATTTAGTAGAATCTATGGACTTGATAAAATACTATTTATCCCAAAATTCGTCTGTGGATATTATTTTTTTAGATTTCGCTAAGGCCTTTGTTTCAGTACCACATCAAAGATTATTGTTAAAATTATCAGCTTATGGTATAAAAGCCAAATTATTGAAGTGGAATGCAGATTTTTCATATTTACAAAAACACTGAGTTCTTATGGGTGATTTTATATCAAGTTGGGTGGTGATTTTGAGTGGTGTCCCACAAGGATCCGTGCTCGGGCCAATTTTGTTTATCATTTTCATTAATGATTTCAATGAAATCATCTTAAATAATCCAAAGTTTTATGCTGATGATTCAAAAATATTAGCTGAAGTAAACAATTTGACACAATGTTTATCATTACAAGGTGATATTAATAATGTTTTAAAGTAGTGTAAAGACTGGTTAATCAACTTAAACATCAACAAATGTAAAGTTATGCACATTGGCAAACAGAATTTAATGTGCAATTATAGTATAAATAAAGTAGATAGCACACAACTAGTCTTAGAATCGTCGAATGAAGAAAGAGATTTAGGAATCACAATAAGATCGGATTTGAAATGGAAATCACAAGTGTTAAACGCATGTAATAAAACAAATGCCATAATTGGTCTGGTAAAAAAAACAATTAATAAACATAGAAATTTATGTTTCCAGTTATTGATAAACCTGGGATTCATACATGTAGGCAAGGGCATAAATTAAATATTGAATTAATTAAAAATTGTCTAGCTAGATTAATTTTTTTTACAAACAGAGTTGGAAAATTGTAGAATTCCTTAAAAACCGAAGATTCTTATGCAAAATCAAACTTATTTAAGGCTATTTTATCGTCCAGATATGGTTGCTAACGTTTACATTCACAATGGTATTGTAACCAGGGTTGTTATCAATTAAACCAGTGATGTTATCAATTAAATGCTCGTTTGGTGTTTTGTGGTTGTTCTACTAAAAAATTTTTTTTTTTTGTATGGCTATGTTTATAGTAACGGTTGCAATAACCTTGTGATTTTCAACATCAATGTTTTATTATTGTATTATTATTATTATTTTTATTCTTATTATTATTATTATTATTATTATTATTATTATTGTTATTATTATTATTATTATGATAAAATTTCTTCAAGATAAAATTTACTGTAAATAAAGTTTGACCTGCTCTAGCTACCAAGCTTGAACCCCTACTCCTCGTTTTGCATCTTTTTCCCTTTTCTACAAATATTATTATGTTCGCTGCTCATAACTCTTTCCATTAACCAAAACTCACACTTGCATATTCTTGTCATTTAATAAAGTTGAATGATATTACTGAATGCCTCTAAAAACATTTAACTCATTAATTTTGTTCTTCATACTTCAACGATTTGCAAGTGTCATTGACTATCAAGTCTTTAAATTCAAAAAGTTACAGTTTTTAAGTTGTTTGTCAACCATTTCCTTGCTCTAAAAGTAATTTTTTTTTCCATGTTTATCTTAACTTAAATTAAGGTTGCTTGCTTTATTATGAGTATTTTTTTTGTGTGTGTGTGTATTTAGGTGCTCCCAGAAGTCCCAACGGTCTTATCATAGAGCACCGCGGGAGAGCATTTAACAGGCCTCAAACAAATTTAACAGTTCACGCCTCCTTCCGTACCAATGTCGCTTGTTGGGCTGAAGCTAGCGTCGAACCTCGGACCTTTGGGTTCTGAGCCAGAACTCTAACCACTGCGCCACGGCTGCTTTTTAATGCTTATTTTTTTTACAGCTTTTTTTTTATAGAATTATGACGGTTGTTTATGATTATTCTTAAATAATTAAATGTTTAAAAATATGTAAAAAATTTTATATTAACTTTTTAAAGGAATGGATGATAGAGAGTATAGAGGCTTTCCGAACATTGCAGATTATTTGTTTGATAGAGATGTTGAAAAAATTAAATTTTATTATTCAAAAGAGATTGGTGATGCTGATCTTAAAAGGATTACAACTCCCATTGAATTAATTCAAACTTTGGAAGATCGTATGCTTTTAGGGAATGGTGATTACATTTCTTTTGTAGAGGTACTTAGAAAAATCGGAAGGAATGACTTGGCTGGATATCTTACTTGTGAGTTTAATGATATTATTTTATTTATTCATTAAATGCATTCTTTTGCTATTATCATTTATTAGATTTAGCTTCTCCTTAAATGACACTTAGAGCGTCATACATAAACAGCTTATGTATAGGGAGCGGCAATGTTTTGTTTAAAAATGCCAATGCAATATGTTTAATATATCGTCTTTGATGGATCAAAACACGCATTGTTAAACAATGCATCGAATAACTATCATTGTTAAGCAATGCATCGGAAGATTGGATTGTTAAATAATGCATCGAAAGAATATAAATAAAGTATAAAACATATAATTTAATATAATTTTATTTGGTTATTGTTATTTGCTGTTGTGCAACAATATTGGTAAAGGAAATTTACAGAGAAAAATTTTGGAAAAATGAATCAAACTATAAATTGTTCGCATCATTTATATTCTTCATATTTTTTAAGTTTCTTTTATATAAACAATTTTTTTAACTTCGGATGCTGACAGAATTGTTCTCCTATCATCACAGATTTCCACTCGATTAAAGCGGAAGCAAGCTGTTGGAATTGCCAATGTTTTCTTGGTGAAGCGCACAAATTTGGGATTTTAAATGATTGCTTCATCCACTAACGAAGTATATCCACATTATCATTAATAGGTGTTGTTGTTAAATAGCTTTTTATCTCTGCCTTGATCCCCATTATCAAAAAGGTCTTTCCTTTCGGGTTATCAACCACTTTTGTAAAGGTTAGGACCTTCAAAATTTTTGAAGCCTTTTTCTCAAGAACAGTACGGTTTATTAAAAAAAAATTCTGGAACAAAGGCATTTCTAAGCAAAATTTATTTAAGCGCGTTTAATTCATAGGAGTTTTAGTGCATGACGTCATTGGAAACATTCTAGAAATTCTTTAAAAATTTTGCTATTAAATTTTATTATTTATTAAATAGCTAACTATAGTTAGTCATTTTATTAAAAGTTTATTTTATTAAATGTTCGTTAGTTTTTTACAAATCTAACGAAAAATTAATTAAACCAAGCACTAAGAAAAGATATAAAAAATAAGAATATACTAATAAATATATAATTTGTAATTTACTTTCAAAATTTTGACAATTTAAAAAATATATATTATAAAACATTTATTTTTGTAAACAAATGATAATAGTTTAAAAGAATTACGTATTCTTAAAAAAATTTATGCTAGACATTTCATAAAGCAACAAATCGAAAATAATACAATTCCTAAAACATTTCAACAGAATACTCTAGAACTTTATTTCGCTTAGTCAGCGTATTTTTTGAACCAATAGAATTAGTTTGTTCGTAAATTTGGCGGGTTTTTAGTGTTCGCGAATATTCTTTTTATTTTTTCGCAAGATGTTTTAAGAACATTCAAGTTAATTATGTTTCCATGTATGTCCGTAAAAAAAATTAATGTATATCAATTTTTTAATTTTTAAGCCCCCGCCATAATATATATTAGATGTTATAATAATGGAAATATAAATAATGAAATAAGATCACCTCAATACCAAAAAATACATTTTTGAAAATCAGAGAATTAATTTTTTTTTTTTTTAATATTTACAAAGTAAATTAATAAAAATGCATTATTATTTAGGTTAAAAATTATTTTATCTAATATTTTGAAAGAAAAACTAATAACAAAAGAAATCAAAATACCAGTGGTCTAGACAATTATTTAAAAAAAGTTGCGCAAATAAAATACTATTTTGTTTTGAATTTTTTTACAAACACATTTTAGAACTTTAAAATATAATAAAAATAAATATAATTTGAAAATTGCATGTAAAAAACAATAATCGGTATTTTAAACAAACAAACAAAAAAATCTATGACGTCATTTACTAAAACTTCTATGAATTAAACGCACTTGAATAAATTATCAAGTCTGTATAACGCGCCTGGAAAAACGCGTTTATTTTACATACTCAAAATACCGCAGAAAATGGAGAAGACGAGCCTCGACTATAACAACAAGATTTGTTTTTCTTGGTATACATTTATTAATTAGTTTTAATCAAAAAAAATTTCCTCAGACGTTTTTTTTTTACATTCTCTTTAATATGAACACAACATGTCTCGGGACTTGGTAGTCCCTCTAAGTAATTTAAGTAATTGTTCTTTTACTTCTTAAGTAATGTTTAAACTAAAGATGTACTTAAGTAAATTTTATTATTTTAGTAAAATCAAGTAATTTTTTTTTCCGAATTAAATTAACAGAAAATTGATATTTTATAAAAATTTGTATAAAAGTTTTTTCAAATAAGTCTAAAATTAAAGTATTATAACTTTTATAGTTTCCTGGTATTATTTATGCCCAAGCTAAGCCTGTGACTATTGAAGTCTTTTCAAATCAAATGATACTAGCCATCAACACTTAGATTTGAAGTTGAAATATCCAAATTCAAATTAGGTTCTTAAAGAACTAGTAAGTCTGATGATTTTTCAAGAGGTAAGATTCAACTGATGGAAAGTATTTCAAAGACCACCAAGAAATGATAAATTGAAACAGTGATGATGGTGGTTTTTTATGTTTAATAAAAAGGCTAAAAAGAACTTGACTTATTCATAGATAGAGCATGGCACCCCAAGCAATGATCTATCTGTTTGCCTTAATACTGCTAATTAATCAAAAGTTGTAACTAAGGGCTGCTTATACTGCATCACCAATTTACACCAAAAGCACTAACGAGGTCACCATCCAAATCTAGAATGGCACTGTCAAATTTCTAATATTTTATAGGTGTTGATGGAGTTGGCCTCTGTGATAGCTACATTCAGAAAACTTTACTACCAGCCAGCTTCAGAACCATTAAACTTTACCACCAAAACATTAAAACCATTAAACATTACCACCAAAAATCTTTCATAACCCTTTTTTTCATTGTAGGCAAATGTCCAAGTTTGAAGCTATTCTGCCTCATTGTGAGCTGTATAGAACTTTGCACAACATTATGTCAAAGCTGTTTACCGTTTTGAAAATATAGACTACTTAAATGTTTAATTTTTACAATTTACCCAAAAATACTGAAAATAACCTTTATGAAATACTATAAATTTTAAATCGAAACAGTAAAATGACATGTCAGTCAAAGCTGACTAATATGATTGGAGATGATAATAGATGAATGATATCATGGAAGATAACTAAAAAAAATGACTTATCAAAAGTTTTGTAATTAGAAATTTAAACTTTTTTAATTTTAATTTAATTTTTAAACTTTTTTAAATTTAATTCAATTTGAATCAAGTTGATTCAAATTTAGTGAGCTAAAATGATATTTAAAACTTTTTATTAAAATTTTTTATATTTTTTAGGGAAATCTGATACAAGAAAAAATGAGTAAGTACTGTGTTCGTTTATAATAGTATTAGTGTTTTTTCAATCTTCGTTTTCAGTATTCGTTTATAATAGTATAAAAGTTTATTAAATCTTCAATTTTGTTTTGTTAAAAAAAATTATTTAAAAAAAGGCTTTTTAAAAATATTAGTTCTGCAAGATTTTGCACCTTAAAAACTCATAAGAGCATTAATCCGACTGGAAAAGTCGGATTAATTCAAAACATATTTTACAAAACAGTTTTTTATTAAACTTTTAACAATAATTTATATGAGTTATGTTTGCATATTTTTGTAATATATGTGCTTCACCATGTATAATACATTTTTTCATCTTTTTTAAGAACAAATGCAATTTTATTGTTGCAAGAAGCCAATGTAAAAAAGTTCTGTCTGATTTTAAGCTCTGTTGTTCTCAGTTTACAAAATCTTGTATCTTATCTCAGATGTTAGGTTCTTGAGAGTTTTGGTTAATCTTCAACAGTGTCATTAACTAAGTAAGTCTAACATTTAATCTCTAATTCATGGGTCTGATCTTTTTACTTCTCCCCAGAATAAAGCAGAGGTATTTGCGAAAGAATCTTACTCTAAATTAACTCTTGAGTATAATGTTCATACTCTTCCTGAGAGTTAAACATATTAGTCCATTGTTAAACATCCAAATCACTATCGCTTCCAATGCTTAAAAGTTAATTAAACAATGCTTCCAATGCTTAAAAGTTAATTAAACATTTCCATTTAAACACTTCTACATTTTGTGCTGTAAAGAATAGATTTCCATTATAGTCCTAAAAAAGTGTTCTCCAGAACTCTCTTCAATTTTTGGTAAACTTTTAAAAAGTACTGAATAAGTGGTTCCAATTTTTCAAAACTCTAGAAAACACTTTGATCTATCCAACCATTTTGCAATTAGTATTCATTCTGTTATTAGTTTCTTTATATAAAGATTTTGAGGCTATGAAACTATTTCTTTTTAACTGCAGGTTTTAACTGCTTAAAACAAGCAGCCGTTTTTAAAACTGATCTCTTTCCTGTAACAGCCTAAGGCTTGCAGTGGCGTATGGATTTAAATTCTTGACTTAAAATCAGCAATCTTTGTTAGACAACAAAATTCATTTATTTGCTGCAAAAAAATGTTGCAATATTGTTGGCAGTAAGAGGGATGTTATTCGCCAATATATGGCGAATAACATCCCTCTTACTTTTAGGCAAAGTCTAAAATCACATTGTAAATGTAGTTAGGCCTGCTTTATATGCCAAGCTTGAACCACATTTCCATTGTTGTAAGGTTGCATTTTTTTTTCTACAAATACAATCATGCTCAAACCAGCTATCATCTCTATAACGATAAACTAAAACTCATTCTTGATTGGCTTTTTATTCGACAAGTTGCAACCTTTTAATGTATCTGTCCCTTCATGCTATAAAAATTTTTATTAATCTAGTTTTCTTCCTTTAACATTAAAAAAAAATTGTAACTCTTACAATATAGTGGTTATTTTTTGAAGCTATGCGGTTTTTTTTTTACAATAGCTCAGAGATTCTCAAGAAATTGGATTGAGATGGGGTAGTTGCCAGGCAATTTATGTTTTTCTGCTAGTTTTCTGCCATAAATTTCTAGACCTTTTTTGGGTGTCTGACATGTCACTAAATTCTTTTGCAAATTCCATTTCCGTTTGGAAAAATCTTTAACATCTCTGGAGTTAAATGTGTTTGCAGAAACTTAATGTAAGTGTCAGAGTTCATCATGCCAGTAACTGTGTATAGTGTTCCTGGTCCAACGGTAAAAAGCAACCCCAAAACATATTCTTTTCTGGGCACTTTAGCATATTGTTCAATGTGTCTGGGTCTTATAGGCTCACCATCAGAGCAACAAACAGACTTTGATAGAAGGCCTTGCACTTCGAAATGTGATTCATTCATTCAAATGTGAAATCATCATACCCTTCTCCATTGTTCTTAAGTCCACTTTTTGTATTCCTTTCCCCACAAGAAATACTTCTTCTTCATGGCATTTTTAAGTAATGATATTTTAGATGGTTTTTTGGTAAAGCTTTTTACAGCTATTACCCTACTTTGTACAGTAATTGAGCAGACATTAAAGTGAAGTGTAGCTAAATCAGATATCGGTCATCTCTCACTGAGGTCTTTTGTTTTCTTGGTGTTGCGTCCATCTTTGTTTCTTTGCTTTTTTTGAATTACTTATCTTTCTAATCACAGTTAAATTACAGAAAATGTAGAATAAAACAACAAAAAACAAAAAAAATGTTTAATGCAATTTTTTTTTTTTTTTTTAATTCATCTCCTCAAGGCCAAGAAGGCTACTACTGACGAGGAGGCTACTTACTTATAACCCTCTCTTAACTCTATAACACAGAAACAGAAGGAAAGTATTTCTAAATCTATACATATATGCATCTAAATTTAAAAAATTTTGTTGGGGTAAAAGTTTGTGTTCGTTGAAACACATTTCGGATAAACGTTCAAGAGCTATCAAAGTAACGTTTGCAGTGAACGTTCAGTAAACGTTCGCTGTTTGGTATTTGAACGTTTGCAGTGAACGTTCATTAAACGTTCGCTGTTTGGTATTTGAACGTTTGCAGTGAACGTTCAAGAACTGTAAATCGGAGTTCACAAAAGTTGGTTTAAATAACATTTGCAGCGTAGGGTAGAGCGGGGCATATAGGGAAACTGAAGAAACAAATGCTAGTTGCGTAGAAGCTAATCATAGTTAACACTGTTTTTTATATATTTTCTAAAATTCATTAATATAAGAAAATAAAAAAACACAAAAAAAAGTTCTATAAGTTAGTTTTGACAACCAAAGTAACGAAACTCTAGACTAGCAAAATTTATAAATTTTGCAAGTAGGTGGGGCAAAACGGGACAGTTAAAAAGCAGCAGTTACCCTTCAATCGTAAAGCTTTAAAATGATGAAAAATGAAAGCTATCTATCGCTTAAATATTAAACTCTCAAAAAAGTAACATACCCATAGAAACTACACACCCATATACCATAAAAATAAATAGCATCTATACCATAAAAATAAATAGCATCTAAAATAATTTTGTGTCTGTGTGTTTTATTATACAATACCTCCGCTCTAACCTATATATTATTACATTGGTAATTGCTACTACATTTAAAATTAAAGAAAAAATTTTATGGATCACATTAATCACACTATAAATATCCTGCAATATTTTTGATGAGCTGCTTTATTAGCAATTTGCCAATGTAGAGCAAACGTAAATATGCCATATGTACCAGCAGCTTTTCTAATTTTTCTAATCTTTTCTAATCCTTTTTACTCACAGCAAAAACTGAATTTCATCTCGTTTTGGATGATTGATTTTTCTTATATAATTTCTTAGCTTCTTTGTTTACATTAAACACTATTAATAATTGAAGTTGAAGCTATAAAAACAAGAATTTATTTAAATTTATTGCTAAAATTAGTTTTCTAGATAAAAGTAATAACATTTTAGATTAAAAATAAAATCATCAAACTGTAACTATTACTCTTCAAAAAAGTTCAATTCCAAATATTTTTTAAAACCAGATTCTAAAAGAGGATAAAAAATACTGTCTGAAAAATATTACTTTTTTTTAATAAAGCAAACTCACAAGAGTTCAAGACAAATCTTTCGTCGCTGCATCGCTTAAGAAAATACGCAACTTTTGTTTTTTGCAAACTAACTGATGCATTCTAGTACTATTAACGCATTTTGGTATTTCTAAAATTAAGTTTTTTATACAATAGTGAAGCACAATATTTTAAGATGTTTTATCAATATAAAGATTTAGGCATAACTGTCCCGTTATCTCAATGCAATTAAAGCATAGAACAAACTAACTCGTAAAAAAAAAAACGATAATTTAAAACAAATCCAATTGGTTTTTAGTGGGAAACCGAAATTTTTTTTATTTGTTGGTATTTAATTTATGCAAACAAAGATTTTGAATTGAAAGTAATTTGTTTTTTAACCTGTTTTTTAATTGTTTACGCAATAGTTTATTATTTCAAGATGGCTGAATAAGTCCCAAGTATTTCAAAAAGTGATACTAAATACTGAATACAGTTTTTTTAAATAGGGCTAAAAGTTATGATTATTTATGCAAAAACGACTTTGGTAGAAAAATTAACACTTCCATAGGTTATCTAAATCAAACGTGACATTATTGTTAAACATACTCTTTTAGGTGTGGCATAGAAATTAGTAACTTAAATTTTCATAAAAAAATGGTTTCTCATGGATAATTTTCCCAAATAATGTCTGATTAAAAATGTCAAGTTACATTCACTGAAAACAAACACCAATACCTGCTTTTATGAAAATATCAAATTTATAGACTTATCAATAGCCAAGCCCCAAGATACTTTATGTTAAAAATTGCATCTTTTCTAAATAAAACTACGCTTGTCAATTTGTTATAGTCGCATTACTTTTACAAGATAATAATAGTGGTTAAAATAATCTTTCCATATATACCAAATATATTATACTTTTGATGAAAAAACTTACATATATTATAACTGAAAAAACTTATATTTTTGTTCGGAAAAACGTGTGCCAGCCCTTAGTTGCATTGAGATGCCCTGCTGTCCCGATATGCCCCGCTCTACCCTATGTTTAGCAAACCTTAATGAACGTTATGGTAACGTTTATTAAATGAAAAAAAAAAAGGAGTGTATGTATAATCTTTTCTTTTTCATTTGTAGAAACATTGAAATGGTGCATAATAGAATGTTTCCAGATGAGCAAGTTCTTTACAGACGGGACTTTATGTTTTACTTTAGCGCAATGGTAGGAGTTGATTGGAGAACTCTTGGACGTCAATTAAATATTAATGAAAATTCTTTAGAAATAATTGACAATGACAATTTAGAAATAATTGACAATGATAATGATGTAGTTAAGTCTAAAGCATATTCAATGTTAAATATTTGGATGAAAAGGTTTGACACCCCAACACTTAAGGAATTAAAAACAACTTTAAGGAACATGAATAGAATGGACCTAATAAGGCAAATAGACGAATATGAAAGTAATTTTTTATGATATAAATTATAACTAGCTGACCGGACCAGCAAAAATACGGGTTGTTGTAAGTCTATCCTAAACCGACCTTTTCTATACCTTTTCCTTATATATAAATATATATATATATATATATATATATATATATATATATATATATATATATATATATATATATATATATATATAAATATATATATATAAATATATATATATATTATATATATATATATATATATATATATATATATATATATATATATATATATATATATATATATATATATATAAATATATATATATACATACATACATACATATATATGTATATATATATATATATATATATATATATATATATATATATATATATATATATATATATATATATACAGGGCCAACGACACCGGGGGGGGGGGGGCACGTGATTCTTCCCCCTCACTTTTTTCGTAAACGACCTTTTTTTTTCAATAAAAGTTTTGATATAGTACTTTTTTCCCAAATTGATGGTTGTGCCCCCCCCCCCCCCTATTTAAAAACTTGTGTCGTCGGCCCTGATATATATATATATATATATATATATATATATATATATATATATATATATATATATATATATATATATATATATATATATATATATATATATATATATACACACATATACTTTTTATTTTATACGATAACTTGATGTATTAAGTTAGTTTTATTGGTATTGTAGACTATACTAATTATTTCTTTTAATAATTGTATAACTTTATTATTACACAATGTTTTTAATCCAATTTATTCTTAAATAGTATAAATAGACAAGTTTTTTGTTCACAAAAATTTATCTTTCAATTATTTAATTGTAACTCATCAATATTTCTCAATATATCATTATTTAACATGTTATAAAGAAAGATAATATTTGCTGGTTATTCAACCTCCAACAATTTAATCCTCCATTGCTAGTTGTTTCTCTCATTTAAATATATGATCCCAATTGAAAGAAAAGTTCTTGCAATTCCTTCTCCAGAAAACGATGCATTAAACAATCTGCCACCACGCTCTTAGTCACAATATCAAACTATTTTTGAATATCATCTTAAAACATGCTGTTTTTAGTTCGGTATAACTTCAATGCCAGATAAATCTAATGCAGCTCTAACAGTTTTCTGATAAATTAAATCAATTTGCTGTGTTGGCTTGCATTCAAATAAAATCAACTACATTGCAATTGTTTTTGTTTTGACTATATTTTTGCAGAAAGAAATCAAAGGTTTTCTTTACAACTTTCTGGAAAGGATTGTCTTTCAGTTAAATAACAAAAAATTTATAACTTCGAACTTCTTCTTTATCTATTAAGCTGGTGTAGATGTAAACCTGTATTACATTGCTTTGTGTATTACATAGCTTAGTGAATGATGGATCTTATTGAAACTACTCATAGATTTTTGCTTATGCATTTTTATGATTTGCTCTTCTTGTTACCTCCTAATAAGAGTACAGCTCTAAAACTCAGTTTAATGGTTCTGACGCCGGCAGGTAGTAAGGTTTTCTCAAACTCTATTGTAGCTCTCAGAGAGGCTAATTCATTTAGCAGCCAGGGTTAGGGTTAGGGTTTGTGTTTATCTGAGATAATCAGACCAAGTCTGTTTACTCGATATGCAAACAGGACCTGTCAGCCTAATGAAAGAAAAAAGGAAACAATTACTACGTTATATTATAAGTAATAGATTTATGCAAAGTTTAGACAGGTGTCTTGAGAGAAGTTCAAAGATTTAAGGATTACGAGGACAAGAAAGAATTATAGGTTTTTTATTTTTTTATATAAGTTATTATTGCAACTTTTTAATCAATTATTATTAAAATGTTTTTACATTTATTTTTTTATTAATTCAAACTTATTGAGTGATCATAGTTTATTTAGGTTTTAATTATTAAAAGTTATATTTTAATTTTTTTAATTTTTTGAGAGTTATACTTTGAAAGAAGTTAAGCAAAAATTTAGATTTTTTATTTGTGGATTAATATGGTTGAAGTGAGTTAATAAGGGGATCTAGGTATCTCTTCAGGGTATGCGTTGGTAGTGGCTTCCCAACTATTAAAACACACACTGATCCAATTCCAGCGAAGCAAAAAAGCTAAATGATCTTTAACCCGTACTTAAAACGATGTCGGGTAAGCCGTTGCAAGTTGAACTTCTTACGGCAAGATCTTAACCGACACTTCACATTAGGAGCAGAGCATTAGAAAAGCAGCTAAAACCACCCCAAAACGAATAGCCAAGCGATAGCGTAGATGTAGGAGTATCGTTTCATGGTATTAGTAGAGGGTGAATTCCCTGCTATTAAAATCACACTGATCCAAATCCAGCGAAGCAAACCATATAAATAATCTTTAACCAGCTTCAATCAATGCTGGGTTAGCAATAGCCCCCACAGTCAGCTGATCTACTCGCGGAGAGATCTTAATTTACACTTCGCATAAGGACTAGAGCGTTAGAACAGCAGCAGAATGCCGCCTCAAGATAATGCACCATAGCGATAGACTAGATATTGGGTGTTGAGGGTGTTGATTAATGTTAGTCAGGAGGTCAATAAGAAAGTTTTTTTCAGAATTTTTTTACTCTTCTGGTTTAAATTTATGGGTGGAGCATATTAAAATTTATTAAAGTTATGCTACGTTATTTTTTTATATTAAAACTGTTTTAATATATATTATTATTTAATCGATTTTTTATTAAAACTATTTTAACATATATTATTATTACTATTTAGTTAATTATATTTTAAAAATTAGTTATACTATGTTTAAATTTATTATATATTTTAAATTAGTTAGAAATTAAATACATTTAATAGAAGGAAGGTCAAATGCAATAATTGAGGCACAAATGTAAGAAATGTATAAATGGCATGGGTTGATTGAAGCTTACTGAATAAATGTATATGCGTTTTTGTCTCACTTTGAGAGTATACTGAGAAGCTCAAATGGTATTAAAATTGTTGAGAGATGTGTATTTCGCTAAGAATGAGTAGATGAATGGTGTTAAAAAGAAAAAAGTAAAATGAAGAAAATAACTGACGACTGCGGGATACGAGTCTGGGTCTGCGCGGCGAAACATCATAACTTAACGAATGAGCTAAACGTTCTTACACCTATTGAAAATTTATCTTTATATTTTCTAAAATTAGTAAGCTATAATGAACCTGATGATAGAGATAGAATGCACATATAGAGATATTTATGATATTTAAGGTCAACAAATGGTAATATCAACCTGTAATTGAGTGTGAAAGATAAGGACATGCGCAGTGGAAATCTAAAACTATGACTTAGAAGAAAAGGTATAAATAGTTATGGGCGCTGTGTGCTTTGACTGACTAGAGACAGGGTGTAAAAACGCAGTGGAGTGTCTATACATCGACTAACTAAAATAGGAATAGGCGCAGCGGAATGTTGCTACATCGACTGACTAAATTAGGGATTGGCGCAGCGGAATGTTGCTTCATAAACTAATTAAAATAGGAATTGGCGCAGTGGAACAAGCATGCAAATGCAAAAGGTTTTTGGTGAGGGCAGGCTATCTAAAAAATTAAAAACTTAATAGCCTAAATATAAAAGTCTGCTGCTCTGCCTTAATGTAAGAGAATTAAAAATCTGTTGAAGAAAATTAATTCTAAATAAAAAACAAACTCGAAAAAAGTGTGTGAAACAGGAAAATGGTTATACATCAACTGCCTTAGCGCAACTGATTGTGTATACATCGAGTGATTTAAATGGAGATTTGCACAGCTGAGTGTGCATACTTTGACTGATTTAAGTTTTTGTAATCCTTACGGTCCCCTAAGGGTTAATTTTGCTTTAAAAATAACTATCGAATCGTCTATGATTTGATTTTACTGAGATAAAATATTTTTTACCTTCATTTGCTATTTTATACTTTAAATTTGCTTTGTCATTCAATTCATTATAAATTTTTCATTTATATTTTGTTTATTTTGAAGTTATTTCAGAGAAATTTGTTTTGTTATTTGTTCATTAGAACATAGTTTTAAATTTTGCTTCTTAGTTAAACGGTGGGGATTGAGCTTGGTTTTTTATTATTTATATATAAATAATAAAAAACTTAAATGTCTAATACATTAAAATACACAGTTTAACATAAACATTTATTACAAAAACATGAAATTAAGATAAAAAAAATATCATCATTGAGATAAAAGTTGTCAGTGACGTATCCAGAAATTATTTGGGCATACCGGTTTAAAATTCATGCCTTAAGAGGACCTTTTTTTTTTTTTTTTGGAAACAAATTTAAATATAATTATATATAATATAACTCGCCCTAGTATTTTACTTTTTTCCAAATAAAAATGTAAATAATTAACCAAAATATTACATTTAAAATGTTACATTTAATTACAAAATTACAGCTTTAAAACCAACATCGATTCGCCGCTAATTTTCATTTATATGCTTTATTCGCTTACTAATATAAAGATTATTATTTCATAAACAAGCAATAACTATAACTTTTAATAAACAATATTTGTATGTTTCTTTTATATAGAAACTCATATAAAAGTATTTTTAAAATGTTAATGTTTATATTTAAAAATGCCAAGCGTTTCATATTTTAATTAAATCAAAACATGCGTTTTACATTTTAATCTTATTGTAACATATTCCGTATTTTATTTACGTGAATTTGAATTAAGCATTTTGATTGACTTGAAATACATTTATAATGTGTTTTAAAAGTCGTTTTTTAAATGTTACTTTTTCTAGGTGACATTATTAACATAAAAAATTTTATAATCATAATTATCATAACAAAATTTATTACAAAACAGCAAGACAATAAATAATAAAGAATTATTTCATTTTAGTATTTTAGGTGCTAATATAAAATTGTTTTAAATTGAGTTTGGGCTGAAATTTGGGGGCCTATACCGATATATCGGTATCAAAATTGGTCTGGATACGTTGCTAAGTTTATAAATAAAGGGCACAGCATAAAATTATAAAACTAAATAAAAAGAAAAAGGATTATAGAACAGATAGTAAAAAAAAAAGTTTTTTGATGCAAGTTACTAATCAATGTAAAAAATAAGCAG